TAGCATACTTGTGATACTTTACAAAAGACTATATAATATCAAGACCATACGATTAAAATATTTATTGGCTTAAGGACACATTTTCTTGGAGTGCCCCGTTTCAGTTGGGTATGTTTATCTTGGACTGTGGCTCCTGCTCTGCGGATAGGCCTTTTACCATATGAGGGAACAACAAAAATGCGGGCAGCCGCTTGTACAAAAATAAAGCAGCGAAATGCGCTTTTGTTGGTTCGCTGCACAGGGCTTGGGGACTTTAAAGCATTCATTCAAGTATCTGGCCAGGGGAAAACATTTAATTTTAAGCGAAAACAATGATGGCAAACGTTTGAGAGCGATGCACGCGAACTTACGGCCAATGGGCAACATTAAAAACTTCCGTTTCCGCTGGCAAACAAGCACAAAAGAAGTGCAGCGGAAATTCCACAAAGTTCAAACAAGAAAACCAGCGAACAGGCCAACAAACAAGCAGGAAAACCGCCAGGCAAACACTAACAGCATTAAGGAAGAAGCTAAGGTCCTGCCCGGTGCTTTTTTTCCTTCTTTTTTTGTTTTTCATTACCCAGCAACTCCTTTTCGAGCTGCACACTCATTACCAAAATTGCAATAAATTTCAGTGCACTGAAATTATTTGAAGTGCCCGCTGCCATACACACATAAAAACGTCCATTTCGGAATTTACGAGAGTGTCCAAGAAGAATGTGCTAAACTTTTATACGCGTCCAGGAGACAGGAAAGCGTAACTCGTAGTTGTAGTGTCAAGTGTTTGGGCGTTTGGTGGTGCCCGAATCCTCCAAAACAAACCAGCAAAAGGAAAACGTTTTAATTGCTTTTCGTTTTGGGGGGGAGAAAACTCGGAACTGCTTTCGAGGGTTAAGTCTATACCGCGCCAAAGCCAACTGTCGTGATCGATGAGTTATGGGTTTTGGGGGGAAAATTGAAATATCGACAGGCAATTGAAAAGCTTCGAGGATACAGTTCCTCGAAGTCGGAGGGTAGGAGAGTGCAGAAGCACCTACCAATACAGCGCGGCAGTTATTCTTAATGCACTTTTATTCAAAGTACATTTAAATAAGACTGATAAAAATAACCAAACGCTTACAAAACAAGGATCAATGCAATGAACTCCATGAGTTGTCCTATTTGTTAATAGATACCATTGCTGCAAGCTCAAAAAGGATATGCCATTACAGGACTGTAAATGCACCAAAGTGTGTAATGCTCCGGCCCTTGACAGCAAAAGTATTGGAAATTAAAGCAAAGTTTAAAAGATTTAAGCGCAAACCCACTGTTAATTGCACTTCCCAGTGGCGGAACACAAAGGAAGGGTCTCGCACATGAGTGCACCACCAACTGTCAGTGGTTCTCAGTGGTCGCTTCCGCACTTGGCCACTTTAATACTCTTTGTGGACTGGCCGGCCTGTTCAATTTATTCATATATTTCAGTTTTTTGTGGCGCTCGCCATGATTTATTAATGATGCTTATTATTATTGCTTAATTGCGGATATTTGCATTTCCACACACCATCAGCGGGGGAAGGATGCGCCCTTCTGTGCGTTACAGCAGCGCATTTAATTGGTGCCAAGCGAAAATATTCAACCGGTTTTCTGGCTGCGATTACCAAAACGATTTCAGAGCTGCGCGCCGATTATATTCAATAATTAAATTTAAATAAATTTGCATTTAATGACATACCAAACATGCAGGCCCACCTAGACGCATATTTGATATGCGGTCGGCTTTTGTGCGCTCAACTTGAAATTGTTTCGGTCTTTTTGTAGACTTTCATTTCGCGATTTGGGCTTTCAGCGCGATATGAAATTTTAATTAATTCGATTAAGTAGCGGATTTTGCACTAACGAATTGCATGCGAAATGCCATAATGGATTAATCAGCGTATGAATAATCGAAAAAATAAGTGAGCACAATGATTGTTTCAAGGCATTCACAGATTTTTTGTTCAACCATTAGAAGCTTTCAAAAACATAATAAAAAACGATTTTAAGTTAGGCTAATTAAATATATTTAAGAAATAAAAAATATATTAACTTTAAAAAAGTAAATACCATTTAAATTTAAAATGCTGAGATTTTCAACAACTTTATGGGATTATAAGCCATTGATCTGATAGCTGTTCAGTAAAACTTACTTCATAAAAATATTATTTATAATACATTGCAGTTATAGCTGGATCTTGTCTTATGATAACACATATATTTTCACTTCAGAAATAAAAATCTAGAAAGAAATCTTTCTGCATAACTCATACAGAATACATTTTCATACGCAGGACTCACAATGCATTGCACATTGCGAGGGATTTTAAAGTGATTTTCCGTTAAAGCAAATTGAATTAGTGCATTCAAATGAGGTAGACTTAAACCATCATGCTCCGCAACGAGATGCTTTTCCTCCTTCATTTGCGTAGTCCGATAAATACCATAATCAGTTGTGTGGATCAAATGGAAAATGCCAGTACTCAATTTACACTCAAAGAACACCTTTTAAGTCCCAAAAAATAAGTGTGAATACATTTTTCAAAATGTATTTTTTATTAAAATTTTTAAATTTCCAGGGCTGGATCAGCGGACGGTTAGTCGTTAATCAACGCACTCAGACCTCCAAAGAGTTGAGCAGACTCTATGTGCATTGTCTCGCTTGATTATACGTCGCACCCCCAACCCATCGAAAGCGCAGTGAATCTGATTCTTATGCAGGTTTTTTACGCGTCCGCGACACGCAGACACATAAATTTGCCAGGCGCGAACTCACTCACACTAAAAAACCACAGTGCACTGCGAACAATGGCCGAAAGATTGCTGGTAGCCCGACCAAAAATAAAGGAGACACAAATATTTATATGGTAATTTGCGTCTCGGAAAGCGGCCTTAAAGGTGGCCACAGTTGGCCCCCGCATAGGCGGACAGACAATGGGGCTCTCTAAGGCGAAAAGAAATGAAGAGCGTAAAATAAATGCGAATCCGAATCCGAATTGGAATCGGAATCGGAAGCCGAAAACGAATGGAAATGGAGCGTGTTAACCAACCCCAATAATTTAAGCAGAATTTATGGCATTAAGATACGCATAATAGTCGAGGAGGAAGGACAAGGACCTCGGTCAATGGTCCATTGGCGGGCCAGGCAAATGTTTTTTCGTCCTTTGCCGCCCTGTTATTCTTTTCCCGCCGCCCAACCCTCCCACCGCTCTAATCCTTACAGGACACACGCACAAAGGCGGCGGCTCGAGTTGCGCCACACACATAAATCAAATGCCAACACACACTGGGTGCGTTTGTGTGGTTGGGTGTTAATTAGTATTTAATCTATGAACCATAAATAAATCCCTTCTGCAAGGACACTCAATTTCCGTTTGCTTGAGCACAGAAGTGAGACAGTTTGTGGCCGTGGGGCGGAGAAAAATGCCTTTTGTGCTGTGCTTAATAAATTGGCAATTCTGTGTCACAGAAGTTAAGTCAACTAATTGCACAGTTTACTTTTTTGCGTATGAGTCGTTCAAGTGTTAATGGGGTAGATGGGGTTCTCAGTGCGTTGGGGAAAAACATTTGTTGGGTGTGTAGGAGCCCAATCAGCAGGCTGATACAAGGTGACACATTCAACTTGAAAACTCCAGATGAAACACAAAAATTAATCTAAAAAAAAAAATAAAAAATTTAAATTGGGCAACATTTCTTGAAGTACAAGTAATATACCAATAATGTAAAATATTACATTATCTGCTTACTTAGCAGAGCACTTAACAGTCACCGAGGACATTTCCTTATCTCCTTCTTAAGCGCTTTCCACTGTGCAGTGTGTTGGTGTCAAGTGTGCCTGTGTGTTCTTGTGTGTGTGTGCGGTCGCTTCAGAGGAAAAGTGTCAATAAACCAGTTTAATTGATTGTGCGCTAAGCTGTTGCCAAACATTGCCAGCTTGATCCGCCATCCCAGCCCGCCCACGCACCGTACTGTACATACACTGCGGGCCATAAAAGTATTTTCATTTCGCGGTGGCGCCATCTGTTGACAGCGGGCGTTAGCTGACGAACTAATGCTTGACATTTGCATTGCAAATTGAGCATTTCGAACAGCGCGACAATTACAGCCCGCCCCCCGACTTTTCACCATTTTCCCCAGTCTGTCTTTAAAAGCAATTAGCGATTAGCAGGCGAAACTTTTCAGCTTTTCCTCGGAAAAGTGTAGAGGGGTAAAATGTGCGTATGTTGTCAGCTCGACATTAGTTTGATTTACATTCAGTTCATTTAATTTCAACGCGCTGCATTTTTTTTAATCTGCTCTGCTGTCTTGTTTGGCTCTTGTTTTAAACCCCTCGCTTCGAATTTTTCCAATTTGCATTCACAATTGCTCATTGATTTTCGCATTTGGATTTTCTCATGGCTTTTAAATGCATTTGGCAATTTCCTGACTTGCCGTTTTAATTGTGTGTGCATTAAAATCAACGCAATGATGCATTTTTAATTCAAATTAAAAATCGCTCGCAGCGCACAGGATTTTATGCAAAAATATCCTACGGCTCTCGAGTGAAGAAGCACAATCACAGAAGGAAACTTGCCAATGGGCGGGAAATTTAAATCTGGTTGGGGTTAAATCGGGTTTTTAGCTGGATTGGTTTTGGTTTTGCGGCGGAGCGCAAAAGATTCTGGGTCGCGACAATTTAATTTGCTGATGCAAAAGTCAATTAATTTGAAAGGAATATATAATCAGATGATGGCAGGAAGTGGGTTTGAGGGGCAGGAAAAGGCAAGAAATAACGATGACAAAAGGAAATGGGCAAAATTGGAATTATAAAATATATTCCCTTAGGCTTAGTCGGAAAGAATAATTAATTTGGTGGATATCAGCAGCGACTAAGAATGAAGCATATAGAAACATGCTAGTGCTTCGATTAGAAATGATTTTATTGTCAAATTACACATTGTATTAGCACACATCATCACATCTTACAGAAGTACACACATTCAATATATAAATAAACAAAAATAAATAATAAAATAAAATAACAACAAAAAAATATAAAAACTACAATGCCCGTGACCACCAAAACACTGGACAAAAAAGAAGAAAACGAAAATCCATTTGGCTTAGAACTACCCAAGGCAGAACTTCTAATATATCAACACCCAGCATCAGATGAGTCGTTTCTTCACGAGAAACCTACCAAAGTCGAAGATGTGATCGAGTACCTGGAAGCGATTGAAAACGCCAACAAGACCGAGTGAGTAGCTAGATAACCGAAGAACGTTATCCATTTTCAATATCTTGTTTTTTCAGCGCGTCAAAAAAAAGAGAAAAATCAATGGTTACCATGGAGGACGTAAAATGCATTGTGACAAAGCGAAATGCTTCAAGCACCACATCATTTCGTCGCGTCAAAGCCAAAAGAGTCTCAATTAACACGAATCAATTCACGTTTATGCGTCAGATTGACTTGGAACCCGATGATCGCGTTTTGGCCAGAGAACAGCGGGAAGATGTGGCCGAAACATTTCGCCGGATGGGAAATCGCGAGTATCGTAAACTGAACTTCACTTTAGCGAGAGAATACTATACAAAGGGTATACAATATATTAAAGACTCGCCTGTCTTGTACGTCAATCGGGGCCTTTGCTGTATCAAGTGAGTTTCTTACGAAAATCGTTTGGAGTTCTCAATCAATTTATACTCTTCACTTTATAAGGTTGCGCGAATTTAAGCTGGGTATTATAGATTGTGACTACGTGTTGACCAATATTGACGAAAAATATCTACGTGCTTGGCTTTATAGGGCAGCAGCCTATAAGCGTCTGAATGATGAGGCTAACTTCGAATATAGTGTCGATCGCGCCCGGCGATTTAACAGGTCGGAGGCGGAATTTGTTGACGAATTCCTGGATAAAATGAGATCACTCCTCTAAGAAAATTATAAGTTCATAAAGGACTGGGATTCCTTTTAGCAAATAAACGAAAGAACAAAACTTAGTTTTACCACGCCCCCTTTACAACCCACAAACCGCCCAAAACTGTCACGCCTATTGATCAAGTTTTTTCTCATGCTATCATTATTTTCCCCATTTTCAACCGATGTTCCAGAAAATGTTGAAATTTCGCATTTGCACTTCCACTAGCTGAGTAACGGGTATCTGATAGTCGGGGAACTCGACTATAGCATTTTATCTTGTTTTAGATTTAAAACGGTCCTTTCAATCATATCGGTAGTAATCATCTGATTTTCAAGCCAATTAAGGTGAAAATCATTTAGTTTTTTCCAAGCTGAATTCAGCGCACTTCCTGGATTACCTCATTTCCGGTTCGAACACCTTTGAGTTGCCTATTTCCACAACATTCAGCTGATTAGCCGCGCAGATATTTCTCCCCTTTTACTCTTTTATTTCCTAATTAAGTGGCAGCTCATAAAAGAAAACCTCCAACAAATGGATAAGGAATGAAAAGCAGCCAAGCAGAGCCATTGAGAAAGTAAATTGAAAAAATAAACTTTTGTCTAACTTTCTCTCTTAACTTTCGACTTCCTCAAGGTGAGCTGAAGACATTTATTTTGCGCTTAATTTTTTGTGCCATTCGTTTTGCCCCTAGGCTTTCCATAAAATGCACTTCAGATGTCCGAAAGCAATTTTGTAAAGTCTGATAATTCCATCTGACTGCCTGGTACTCGTTTGTAGCCTTCTGCTGGCCATTAAGGCGACTGTCGACCGGCAGAAGTTGACCCAAATATTACTCAGCACATTCGTAGGCAACAAATTGCGACTCGGTCGGTCTGTGAGTGGGGCTAATGTTCAAGTGGATGCTGGTACTTGGGACCCGACTTTTCTCTCTCAGTCAATTTGATTTTTTAATTAAATTTATTATAGCAAACAGCATAAAATTTTATGTGGTTAGTCCATTTCTGGGTCACATTGCTAATGACTCTTTGGGCCAGAGTCGGATTTCAAACTGCAAGCTGCAAGTTGGAGCAGGACGTGACCCCCAATCGTCCCGTCGACTTTCCCGACAGTAATCTGCTGCTAATGCCTTTTGGTTTCTGGTCTCTTTGGCCCGCCTTATGCACTTGTTTATTTAATTATTTTTTATGAAAACTGTATTTACCATTCGGCTGCCTTTTGAATTTATTGAACATGAAAGCAGCAATATGTATTCAACGAATAAATAAGTGGAACTTATACGTATGGCAACTGTAAGAAAAGCCATATTTCAAATAGAAATTCTTTAACTTTAAAAGAATTATTAATATATTTGCTTGACCAATTTTATAGAATGTTCCATAATGTGTATAAATTGAAAAACTTAAATTGAAAGACAAAAGCAGTTTCTCTTTGTTTAATTAAAAATATAGGCAAGTAAATGTATTCGTAAGCTTTTTCGAAAAGAATTCACAACTAAACTTTGATTAAATTTGAGGCATTTGCTTGAATTTCAGCTGGAAATTGGCAGAAATTAATTTGGTCTTTTAATAAATTTACCCATTTTTATCACGCACCTGAGACCAGGCTTGTGCTACACCACTTGCTGGACATAAAATAAAACGAAATTTAATTGCCGACTGTGGAGAAAGCCAAGGGCGTAGCTGTGGCTAAACATTTATGCCATGGTCGTATCTTTAAAAAGAAATATGTACGCTCGACTGGGCCACGCACCATTTACGAGGCACACACTGCGTATACGCGACATGCAAGCAGCAGAGCGAACACATTGCGTATACGCATCATGCAGGCACCATAAACATTCGCAAATAAAATGTGTTTAATTGTAGCGAGCAGAAAAAAACGAACTGAGACAGATGAAAAAACGCGCAAACATAAAGGAAGGCTAAGTCCTGCGACCAAAAGGTAATTAAAGCTCCCAGTGAAAGTTTTCACTCTCCTACATTGTTAGTTCAATCGCTCGGAATAATTTATTAATTAACTACAATTCGAATGAATGAATGAACGATTACTGGCGGTGGGGCGGGACTCCCAGTTGGACTTTCTAGGAGCCAGAAGCGACAATTCCGATTCCAGTTTCTCCATCGCACGTAACAAGAAAATCAATTAAAAGCGCTTTATGTGCGCGACAGTCTTCGTTTTCGCTTGCGACTCTCGACTGTCGCCTTCCATTCGATTCGATTCGATTCGGTTCGCTTGGGTCTCCGAGTTGTGGGACAAGTTTAGCGCCTGCCAAGTGGAACTTTGTTAGTTTCTAATTAATTGTTACAGTTACAGACGAACACTGAACTTGACTGCAGCAGCAGCAGCAGCAGCAGCAGCAGGAGGAGCTGCTTAACCATCTCGACTCCCGTTTTCCTCCTGCCAATTTTAGCATCCCCGGTTATTTATGTCGGATGCTCGGCATTATTTATGTTGCATATTGGGCGCATTGTAGTAAATTAACCAGCGAACAGACGGCAGTTTTGCCCCTGCTCCTTTGCCGCCTTCAATGGAGAGACACAGCTGGCGTTTTCCCTCTTTTCCGTTTATTGGAAATGTCACAATAACTTTACAGTTATGACAATTTTATGGCCAAGGTTTGTGCCCGAGCGCGGATTCCATTCCGATATTGGTAGCTAATCAAAACGCTCAGCGGTAATTGAATTTTTGACTTGGATATAAATTTCGACTAATGAAAGTTGAACCATAAAAGAGACATTTATTGAGGCTAAAACTTCGGGAACGCGGAATTGAATTTTGATTAAGTTACGCTACTGCTGCAATGCCCCTTTATAAGTTTGTGCAGATAAGACTGGGAAATGTTTTACCTTATCTACCAATTCAATTTTCTAAATAATTATTCTTCATTTTCAGCAGCTCATACAATTTCTTTTCCTTTTTCCGGATAATCTTCAAAGGGATGGCACATATATGTACATTCTTCAGATAATCTGCTTTCACATCTTCCTTCTCACATATTGAGTGCTTAACCCTCGGGCTTAATCTTTAATCTATCATTCACTTTTCTAGCACTCCCGTTGGAGCACTCCCAATGGGCATTCAATCATCGGCCATCCCCTCACCCAGGATAACACATTCGATAATTACCCGTAAAATGTCTAGCTCCCAACAATTGGCAACACTTTTCACATCCCAGCCAGCTCAAACACACACATCAAGTTGGCATCCTCCACAAGCCAATTGAATGGAATCCCCATCTTCATTTCCGTTTTGATGGCCATAACCAGGAAGCCCCAGCTTTCAGCCCCCAATCGCATGACCATGTCGATGGTATCCAATACCATCAATACTTAGCTAGGCGCCAAAGGCAAGTCATGAACAGCACGAAAATAAACGACAGCGGAAACGGAAAAGGCTTAACAGCTGCGCTCACCCGTACACTGAGAGATCATGATTGGGATGGGAAGGATGCCACGGAGTACTGCGGACTGGAGCTGGACACTCTCAAAATCCGTAAGCGCATAATCATGAAAATTGTCAGTACATAATGCCTCAAAAGGGCCGATAGGAAAGCTGAAAAGGCGGAAAAGGTTTTTACTCGCATCTTTACTTACTTTACACGCTTGACTTTGTGGAGGGCCAAGATTGCTGACTTCGATGTGGCACAGTGCAACGACTTCTGCTGGAAAATTGAAATCTATATGTGCCAGCCAAAATTGTAAAGTTTGTTGTAAGACTGCCCATATACATGCAACGTATTGATTGGTGCTATAATTTATATAAGTCGTACCTGTTTATAAAGATTATTAATTATTAAAACACAAATCCCTTTTATGCGAATGTTTGATTACTAAAGTTTCGTAATATTTTCCATTGATTAATAAACACCAAGTAATTTCCAAATAATCTGGTGCCACTGCCAGTGTGTCTCTTACCCTCTCCAAAAATTTGTAGAGCGGAAAGTAATTTTCTTGCGCTTTTTATTCGCCCTCGTTTTTTATGGGTCGATTCTGCCTGTCCTTTTCAGTCCACTCCTCTCTGTTGTCCACTCCGCGTCCTCCTTTCTCCATCCTGAGTCCTTTGCTGTCCTCATATTAGCCTCCCACGCTTGGGAGAAAGGCAACAGAAAGTAGTGAAAGGTCGTGGCAAATTCGCCGACTAACAGATACCCACTTCTTTATGTTCCTTAATAAAGCTTCCATCGAAAAACACCACACACCGACTTTAATTGCAATTTAAATGTCATCTTTTTCCTCTCCATATATAAATTTTCAAGTTTTCAATACACGACTTTTCAAAAAATAAAATATGCTCTTTATCATGTAAGTATCGAAGTAAGTTAACATCCCATGCCGGCCGCCCTTTGATTTTGTTGTCTAACTTTTTTATTTTCCCTTCGATTCCATTTGTTGTTGGCCTCGATGGGCGAATTCTTCGGCTTTGGTTGCTGGCGTTGGCAAAAATCAACTTTTGCACGTTTCGATTGTGTAAAGTTTTTATGGCTTTTTGATTTTTTTCACTTATTGCCCAGCGGCGCTTCGGGCGAATGTGTATGGGCGTGGGTGGGTGCCAGCAGACCCACTGTCATCATCAATAAGGTGCCTCATTGAAGGCACTTAAATAATTACAAAATAATGGATGCCAATGGCAAAGCGGCGAAGACACTTTTTAGCCACTTCGATGGCACGGGGGAGATTCGTCGAGCCGGTCCTTAATGCAAATCGTGCCCAAGTGCCGCCGAATCAGTTTGCGAACTCTTTCACGTCAAGTCAAAGGGATATATATTCATTCTCTGGAGGAAAATCGGGCGAGGTATGCAAATATTTGGTTAAGCGAAAATCAGCAAAAGTTCTGGGGGAGAAGCCTCTGTTTGTTGTCACTTTGATTTGTTTGCCTCATTGTAAATATTTAATGGAGCAGAAATAAGTGTCAGGGAATTGAGTTCTCTCAAGAGGTGGGATAGGGTTATAAAAATCGGGTTTTCCTGCGCTTATAGGGGATAACCGAAAATAGTTAGACTTTCCTGCTTTCCAAATCAACGATATAGAACCTAAAACTCACAATCGCTAAATTGCTTTTATATTTATAC